GCACTTATATAATGTTGCCCATGTGCTTAGTCTATAGATCAGGAAGAGAAGAAGAAGCCTCGTCTCCAGGATAGGTTTTCCTATATATTTTTGCTGCCAAAAAACATAATACTGAGTTTGCTTTACAACACCTTGTTATTCAAGGCTTGTTTATGAGTAGCAGGAACTTTATTAATCTGCATGTACTGTATCTTCTGTTTTTTTTCTCATTAGATTAAATCTTGCAGCTGGTTTCACAATTTAAACTGTGCGGATTGTGGAGCTGTGAAGATTTCCTTCTAAGTGGTGCTCTTTAATCTAAAGCCAGGGTGCTAGGAAGAGAAGTGTTTCACTACAGTTCTTCAACACTGGTGTCTACAGGAATCAGTGCCACCTGGGACATCTTCAAAGTCTAAACTGATCCATTGCTGTGAGACTGGTAAAAGTTAAGATTGTTCTTCACAATTGTTTTATTCACAAAACCTTCACAATGCCGTCTGAAGCCTTCAGATGGCTTATGAGACAGAAGAAATAAATCCAGAACAGAAACTGCACCATTAATCAAAGGAGAAAAGGTACTGAGAGAAGTGGAGTGGTTTGTATTTCATCCAACCATGCACGATTGTATAGTCTGTCTGGACTTATAAACAGGAAGATGGAATCTCAGGTCAGTTTAAACTCTAAAAGAGGTTGTTCCCAGGCAGAAGAAGTACATTTCTAGTACCTCAACACATCATTGCTTAACAAAGCTCTAGGTATAAGCTGATTGTTAAACAATACGTAAAATACATTGAGAAAGTTGTTTATAAAATGTTTTCTACTTTCTAACCGGATTTCTACTATATTCATTAACGGAATTACTTGACATGTGAACATTTTTTAATTTTAGTATGCATATTTTTTTACATACCGAGTATTAAAAAGTAGATTATACCTTAAATCAATAAATTTCTGTTTCTGGTTGATCAAATTGTCATAAATAGATTTTTATTTATTTTTTTGTATAAAAGTGAAGAGTGGGTGTGATCTAACTGGAATGTTAAAAATGTCCACTAGGTGGGGTATGACTAAGGGTATACAGAATTTTGTAACAGTCCATTGCATAATGTTCCAGTGTACCTTAATTGAAAACATACTGTTAGACTTCGAAAAGAAGATCAAACACGGTTCTGATTAATCAAATTGTGATTTCTTTATTGCAATAAAGAAAGGAGGACAGACTAAGTTAACAGGTTTAAGCTGGTCTCGCACTTGCTTTTTCAAACAGAACAGCAGGCTTTTATTCTTGAAGATGAACAAAAGTTCCATACAAAAACATACATTTTTATGATTTGCTCAGTAACAGTTTGTTGCCTTATGAGGCATAAACAAGATCAAAGAGTCAGTTGGATCAGTAATAGCACAGCAATAATCCAAGACCCCTGTTTCCTTCATGTTGCTAAACCTGAGCGTAGGATACATGAATTATATCTCCATTTGAGAGACCTTGGCTCACAGGAATGTGCAAAACAATAAAACAATTCTTAAATTCTTCGTTGTTAACTCATAACAAGGCATAGGTTCCTTCAATACCAATACACATTTTTCTATCTGGGATAGAGACAACTGAATGTTATCTGGACAGTGTCAATAGGTAGTTATGACAAGTTTTACAACTGTACAAACAGCCAAACTCTGCCACACCTAAGTAGGTTCTTATTTAGCTTAATTATGCTGGGCACCTGTGAACCTACAGAACCAATAGTGAAACTGTGTCAGTCCTGCTTGTATTCCTTCTGATTTCATATTTAAAAAAAAGATTGTAACAACGTCAATGCATAGTTGAGATGATGTCTGTGAATGTAACAGGGCTCTTTGGAACTGAGTGTTATAGAAGGCAGTGTCACTCCATTGGAACCTGGCTAGTGCTCAATTCTTCCTCAGTCATTTGGCTAAGTTAGCTCACCAAAGCAATCAACCCACAATTCAGTGCATTTGCTAAATGGTGTTAATGTATGCATTACTTGAAAAACAAACTACTTTTGTAGTGTCCTTCAGATTGTTTGTGAGAGTGTGAGACAGTATAAACCTATGAAGTGCTTTAGTAAAGGCTGAGATAACTTCTGTTCAGGTGTTAAAATGTACAAATTGTGCTATGTTGTCATATTACATACATATATGCTGTATTGTGCCTCCAAAGAAATTTACCAATCTGTTGATGGATATGTTTGTACAAAATAAAAGCAAATTTGGATATTGACAAAATGTTTCTGGTGTTATTTTAATGTATTGTTAATTAATGACCATGTAACACCCGAGTGACTATTACATAAGCACTAAATTACCTCAATAAGATTGTGTACAAGTGCCAGTGGCGTACTCGATTCCGGATTAAATCAGGATAGTGATTTTTTACCATAAAATAAAAAAAGAACTTACAAATAAAAAAGAAACCACAAATAATTAATCTAAACAAGCTTATTTTAATTGGGCTCAGAAAGGAGCTAATTCCTGTGTAGTAGTGATCCATAGTCTTGTGTAGACCAGTCTGATGGTGTCAACAAGGGTGTCGCAGAATGGTTTGCTAATTGTTGTGCTATTTGTGGTGCAACAGACATATCACTGGGGAGAACCAGGCTTGATGATCTGGGCAGGAGTCTAGTAGCTATAGATCTCCACCTATGGTGATTGAGGGAAGCAAGACTGAGTGCCATCAGATCAATCTGGCCTTGGGACTTGCTGCCCATGCTGTGGGCAGTCCAGAAGGACAAGTCACATGTCATGGATGTCAGAAGGGACAAACCGTGGAATGGCAGGAGAGCAGAATAAGACCCTATGCATAGCGGCGGGACAGGGGTTAGCCAGGGCTCAACAGTTCAGGAGTCGTATACAGTAAAAACCAAAGCCCTCAGGCAGCGGACGTTGGGCGACCTGGTGTTAGGCGGGTCTCAGGACATCCGAACGTCAATGCTGAGCCCAGGGGAAAGAGTGACCCAGAAATATATAGCCTCAGAGAGAGAGAGACAGCAAGGCAAAGGAAACTATGGACAGGGCAGAGTGGGAGCACCCTCTGGCTGCACAGGGCATGACAGTAACCCCCCCTTCATGGGCGGCTCTTGACGCCCATACAAATAAATGAGCTGCACAGCACTGGGGGGAGGAAAAAACTCACTTAACTGAAAGGAAACCTCCGGGAGTCCATGGCTAAGAGCTGCCCCCTCCTCCAAGCTATAACCCTTATTGGGTAGAGGAAGGGGGGGTCAGGTAAAGCTCCGGAGACTCAAAAGAAAAAAAAAGACATGTACATAAGCACAAACCACAACAAAAATAAACCTGGGAGACCAGGAAAAACAAACAACAAAAAACAGATAGGAACCAAACGTTCTGAGACACAGGGGACAGGGGGACTAGAGAGAAGGGGAAACCAGGAAGTGAAAAAATCCAAACACCAACCAAAGAACAAAAATAAAAACCCCAAAACCCGGGACAAAATACCACAAACTGGGCAATAGGCAAATTCAATATTCTATCACTGATATCAGAGTTTATCCTGAGTAAACCCAAGCACTAGACCCACTCACAAGCATGGAGGTCCGGAGTGATATCCAGCAATAAGAATAGAAGAACGGCAAAATGGCTCACCAATCTATCTCTGAAATCGGCAGAAGACAACCCGAGGAAAGCCAGAAACTAAACCCACTCATAAACAGATTTCAGGAAGGTAATATCCAACGATGAGAAAAGGAGAGGAAAAAAGGCTCACCACTCTATCACTGATATTGGAGTGGACAACCCAAGGAAAGCCCGCTCACAGGCATGGATGTCGGGAGAAGCATCCCGTGATTAGAATAGGAGAGCTGAGAAAAAAAAGCCCAGAGGAAGAAAAATCTGTGGGAAAACAAAAAACGCCACTTGCAGGGTCAGTGGGAGGCTCAGCATTCTGTCACAGATGTGACAAACAGATGAACCGTGGAATGGCAGGCGAGCAGAAAAAGACCCTATGTGTAGCAGCGGGACGGGGGTTGGCCCGGACTCAGCAGTTCAGGAGTCTTAAACAGTTAAAACCAATGCCCTCAGGCAGCGGACATTGGGCGACCTGGTGTTAGGCGGGTCTCAGGATATCCGAACGTCAAAGCTGAGCGAAGAGGAGTGAGTGACCCAGAAATATATAGCCCCAGACAGAGAGATAACGGAAGGACAGCAAAGCACGGGAAACTAGGGACAGAACAGAGTGGGAGCGCCCTCTGGCTCCAGAAGGCGTGACATCATGTCTCTCACGCTGATTGGCGTTCTTATGCAATGAGAATGAGAGTTGTGTTGTGAATGCCCTACTCACCTGACATGACCTCCTTTTAAAAGCCTTGGTATGAACATGGAAGATACCCAAGATCTAGAGACCACTTAACAAGACAAGGCATCTTCATGCAAAGCACGGGTCTCAGATTTACACCTTTCATGGTTTCCAAGGATGGCCACCACCTCTTCTGATGACAAATGTTAATCAGCATTACCTTTGTCATGTCTGTTCAATAAAATGTCTGTCAGTCAGGAAAGCAGTTACGCATGAAGTGAAAAATATTTTATAGCGTTGGCTCTCAAGATCAGCCCTTCCACTGCCCTGGCACATCAGTATCTGTAACTTGTCTACTATTAAAAAACATGCCAGCAGCTATGTCACCCTGCAGACCATAACTGGCAGCCCACTGAAGCTAAGCAAGTGTGAGTCTGGTCTGTACCCAGATGAGAGACCTCCTAGGAAAAACTAAAGTTGCTGCTTGAAGAGGTATTAGTGGGACCAGCAGGGGGTGCTCACCCTGCAGTCTGTGTGGGTCCTAATGCCCCAGTATATTGTGATGGGACACTATAATGTTGCAATGCTCTGTGGAAAGCGAAGGGCATGACAAGGCACAGAAAGGTGTCATGGCCATCCACTGCTTCCAATACAGATGAGCTGCATGAAGTACAACTGTCTTTGACGGGCAACATAAACATCTTAAGATGTTGGCTCTGTGGAGCAGCAGCAGCTGTGTTTGCTTTTTCTTAAATTTAAGTCTCTGCAGTCTACAGCATCCCCTGTCCAATTGTCAAGACCATGCCTAACCCTTTTACTTAGGAAGTGTATTATTTTACTTTATCAGTGTATTCCTTAACTTTTCAAAAATTACCTCTTTCCTACCTATATCTCTAGGCTTAACATGCTACTTAAGAACTTACTTTCACCCTGTGCCTGTTTTTCTACTACATGTTCTGTAGTAGCCACTCTTTGTCTAATCTTACTGTACCTAACATTTCTTGTGGCCTGAAGATAGCACTTTTCAAAGCTATCAGTTACACTGTGTACACAGTGTACACAGCTTCACAACACGAGAAATATTGCTCAATATGGCTTTATGTGAAAAACCCGTATATCACCATAGGAAGCAGAACAGCGCAGTCTCCAATTACCCAGACAGTAAGCACGGGAATAAAGCTCTGATTGATTTCTGAAACCCTTTCTTTCTGTCCTGTTTTCATTCAGGTAAGGGTCAACTATATTCACAATACTGCTGACAGCAGGAAAATTCAAATATTCTTTACTCAGCAGCTTATTAAAAACAGTTCCCATAATGTTCAAACCGATTTTTTTCTCATGCTTCTATTTAATGTGGCACTATGCACTGGGATAGGGGAATGCTGTTCACAAGCCAATAGCTTTTAAACCACAGCACCCACAATGCTGCTAGTAAGTGTTTTACACACTAAGCAGGTCCTCTGCCCTTTCTCAGCTTTGTTTTGGGTTGTGAAACTTTTCTTTATTTATTAAAAGATTTTTTGAAGATAGCACTACAGGTAATACACTGGAATAGGGGGGTCGTCTTCATGGCTCAATAGCATTTCAAGCACAACAGCCACAGTGCTGCAACCAGGTGTTTTACATGCCAGACAGCCCCTCTAACCTTATACAACCTTGCTTTGGCTTGTGGAACTTTTCCTTATTTTTAATGATTTTTTGAAGATAACATTACAGGTAATACACTGGGATAGGGGGTCTTCTTCATGACTCAATAGCTTTTTAAGCACAACAGCCACAAAGCTGCAACCAAGTGCCTTACACACCAGACAGCCCCCCTAACCTAATACAACCTTGCTTTGGCTTGTGGAACTTTTACTTATTTTTTAATGATTTTTTGAAGATAACACTTCAGGTAATACACTGGGATAGGGGGTCTTCTTCATGACTCAATAGCTTTTTAAGCACAACAGCCACAGTGCTGCAATCAGGTGTTTTACACACCAGACAGCCCCCCTAACCTTATACAACCTTGCTTTGGGTTGTGGAACCTTTCTAAGCTAGGCAGGCCTCCTGACCTTTCACAGTTATGTTTTGTTGTGCGAAACTTTAATTCTCTTTTTAGGATTTTTTGAACATGGCAACTTCCACCGAAATGGGTGGGGTGCTCTTCAATAGCTTTTTCATCTATACACACATACGGATGTAACCAAGACACTCAGAACCAACAGAATCAACCTGAACTCATAGAAAAACAAGAATGCCCCCGAGACACCTGCACCCCCCTCCTGGACCACTCTGGTATCAACAGCCTCAAACCAATCCATACCAGCTAACAAGACTCAGAATCGGTGCAAACCTTCAACCTGGACCAATAGCAAGATGGGACAAGAACCTGCACCACACTACATACCCTTCATCCAGACCAGCAGGACAGCCAGACCACAGACAGCACCATCATGTAACCCCCCAGTTCACTCCAACAGAAAAGCCGAACTGACCCCCACCAGCATGGCTATCCTGCAACTCTGGTCACACCAGTAGGCCCAATGGGCTCGGAGCTAGGGGATATACGGCACCTCATGAGCTTGACCTGCACCAAGCCCACGAGCTGAACCAACAGTTTTTTACAACACACAGGTTTGTATTTTTTGGCTGAAGATGAAAATGTCTAACATAGATTTGTTTTGGTTCTAGCAAACAATAATAATAGTTGTTAAAACCCAAACACACATAATGAGATCACTCTCTGTCAGTATGTGTAACATTCTGGGCCTGGGTTCCTCTGTATTTGGGCTGAAGAGAGTCCAGCAACATTATTAAATGGACTGACATCATAATTTGACAAGATACATTGTTTAGGGGAGACTTGACCACCCACTGTCCCCCTGGTATCAATGTCCCTTAGCTTACCAAAACCAGAATCACTTGGGGCTCCAGGGGGATCGGTGTATGCAAAATATGAATTCCACCTCAGCATGGATTAGTGAATTTCAAACCACAATAAAAGTCAAATGTACACAGTAACTTGTAAATCCTCCAATTTACATCACAAAATAAGCAAAATATCCAGGTACACGCAGCACCATATTCTGCGATTCAGAACAGGGCAACAACATCCAGTAACGTGAAGCAGCTCAATTACATTGTAAACAAGCCAGCTTGTGAATACATCTCTTTCAATCCATATGTAAATAGTGTCATAGCAGTTTTAGTGTCTGATATAGCCATATAAGTGTATAGCCTGTTGTTAAGAGGAACCACTCTAACGATGTGTACGTGTTCCGTCAGTCTCCTCATGAGATATATATCGTGTGTGTTGGTCAGAAGAATAAAAGCTGTCGCTTGGTTCACTAATCGCATCTCTACTAGTCTTTTGTCCTAAAAGAACCTGTATACGCTACATTGGTGTCAGCAGTGGGATGGGATAGCCCTTCACCGAGGATGGCGAGTTAAGCTGGGGAGAGTGTAATGCATATGGCCACCGGTGAGTGTGTAAGAGCCAGTTTACCAGAGTGGTGACGTCACCGCCCTTCCCTGTAATAGCAGGACCACAGCCGCAGGGTTGGAGAGAGATCTCTCTTTAGCTCACCAGGTTGGGTCCCTATTGAATGATGCTGGAGGCCCAGGTTTGAGTCCCTGATGGTGGAGGGCTGACCTGTGCAGGCAGCAGGCGAGGGCGCCCACATGAACCCCGAAGCGTTATAATATTATTGTTGTTATATAGGAACAAGGTTAGACTTTCCCTGGTTTGAAAAAAAAAATTCTAAACTGTACTAGTTTGCCACTCTTCTCACACCCTCTTTATTAAATGGCTATGCATATTGGCCAATTTAATTGTACTACTCTCTCCAAGTGTTATGTTTGTCCAGTCTAAACACTGCAGTTTTTCTCCACCAAAAATCATTAATTGGCTTGACGTGTTAGTCAATTAGTTAAATGCAGTTAGAACAGTTCATTGATAGCTCTAATCCTAGCCTTCTCTGTCTCACTGACGTATCAAACCCATGTACTGTACAACTTTAGGCAAGATAAGAGGATTGCATTATTTTCTCTGTGCTTGCCCTGTCTTCTAGATTTGTAATTCTTCTGAAAAAAGTCCTTCTTGAGAAACTAAACAACATCTTGCACCAACTCTCTGTGACAAAATTTACACTAAGCTCAGCCTGACACCTGCTCTCCGAGTCCTAAATGCATCCTGCTACTAACATGGAAAGTAATCTTTATATTTCCATAGTTATCTTTATTTAATGGTTTCATTAGTGGCCAAGGTTAAATTATTTTCTTGGAAAGTTTCTTTAAGGTGTTGCAAACAAAAAAATGTGACTTTCTTTAACAAAATGTAAAAACTTTCCCCTTGGCAGTCTACCTGAATACCCAACTATTTGAGAAGCCTTCCATGCGCCATGTTTGTCATTACGTTCATATAAGATTCTCTGTCAGAATTGCTCTGTTTTTCTATTTCATGTGTGCTAATTTTCTGACTTGCCATCCCATCTATACTCTGCTTTCAAACCTTCATACTCTCCCTGTTAGAAATGCACTTACTCATTCAAGCTCCTCTGCTATATCTGCTTCAGGTTCACATATTCTTTTGTAATACACAACTTTCTGTGGGTTTTTGTTTTTGCAAGTGTCCCTGCACCTACCTAATGCATCCTCCATTCCTCTTCTGCAAGTGTGCCTTGACTTTGTCTTACATTTCAAATACTCCCTTTCTCAAACTTATTTGCTTGTCTGCATTTTTTGTATCTTTATGTCTAAACAATTTATTTACATTCCTAACACTTTCACTTACTAACTTTATATTTTTCACTGACTTTCAGCTTCAGCCTTAAAAAGCTTATGTTCTCTCTTTTGTTACTTGCCCTACAGAGCTCTTTCATCCTCCAGTTTTCAACATTTTTTTTTTATCTACGATCACCTTATTAGTGCAGTTGATATGGCTTAAATCCCCTTTTCCTGAACTTTCCATAACAAGCACTAGTGCTGTCTCCAATGACATCATCTTCAACTCAGCTTTCACTGCTCAGAATTTAACTTTTTTAAATTCCAAGTCCAAATCTTTGAGACAGGCATTAGCCAAAACTAAGAATAAGATCATTTATTCAGTTTTGATAAGACGTTTATTAGAATTTAAGAATTTTATTTTACTTTTGTTTGTAGACGTATTTTACATTCCGTTGTGTGGAATGCTAAACTATAGTTTTCTGTCCAGCTTTTCTATGATATTTTCTATTAGGCACTATTACTGTTTATTACATGTATGTTTTTGCTCGTGGTAATGGTAATGTCTTGTGTTTTTAATATCAATGTATTTCAGACAAATATATTAACTACTGTATCCAGTACTTGAATGTAAATATTGTAACGGATTCGGGTTCTAGGGCTTGTGCCCTCGCCGCACCCACGCCAGTTCACCCCTCCACCGCATGGGTGCGAACCCGGCTCTCCGGCGTCGCTCAACAGGGGTCTTGCCGGCTGAGCTAAGAAAAACCCTTCCTCAGCCCGTACTGCCAAGATCACTGTTATGCGCATGGGGTGTATTCCTTACAATATTTATCAGTTGAAGGCTTGTGTGTTTTGTTATTCAATAATCAGTTATTGTAGGATTCGTCAGAGATCTCTGTGTATTTTAAATTAATAGGACACAAGGAAATAACGATTATATTAAAATGTATTTTTCTTTATTGATTTCTTGTCCCGATTCATTCAGAAACATTTCCGGTAACTTCCCCATTCGGCTCTGACGCGTCGTCTTTCCGATAATTGATTCTGTTCTGGGAAGAGCGAGTTAGCTGAAACGCCATCTTTATTCCAGTCCCTTAAAATTATTTTTCATCTTATTTTGTCTTCTTCCGGAGCGGTGTTTTGTTTCGGTTTCACTCCCAATCAGTGATCTCGTTGTGAATAATTTCGGCTTTACGCAAAGATCCAAGACCAGGACAGATCACTCCTTCTAAAAATTTAGATTTTTTTGCGGTTTGGAATAGATAAAACCAAAGGCGTGCAAGTGCAGAAGATGATGTCGCTTGCAATCTTTGTTTCACTTCTGTCCTTGATGTTGCTGCACTACGGTAAGGAAGAGGAATTCGTCTGGGTTGTACTGTAATGTGCTGAGAGGGGCGAAAACGAGTTTATTATTAAGGCATTCACTCATTTACACTGACCTGTTCTACCAGTACAGCATCAAAACGAATATTTTCATACCTTGATGCATGCTAGCATATATCTGTCCCGTCGAAATATGACGCTTTTTGTTACACCTGCAAGTTTACGTGGTCAGCAGCCATCTGTTCTACTTTGCTGTATGGCACCACGAGTGTCAATCCCAGGCCAGAGGTTTTCCACAGCCCAAACCCCCTGGCCACTAGATACTTTACACCTTTCTATCTGCATACTGCCTGGGCGGCTTTATGATCAGGGTTTGGGGATAGGGAGTCTTTTGTGTCGTTTAATAATAATAAAACCTGAAGTGGAAGTTCAGTACGATAGTGGTGCCACCCTCCTGTGCATCGCAAACGTACTCTTTTTAAATTCCTTATTTTAGTAGTTAAATCAAACCCTAAATCAGGCGGGAAAACGGTTCGGTTCGGATTAGCGATCTAGTTTTTTGGATTAATTGACCTGGCTGCGGAAACCCTGTACCAGAGTGGGACTGTTGTTGGAGGCGTGTTATGCAATGCGGGCCTTTTTGCGAAAGAGGCGATGTTAGGGTTTGACCTCACGATTAATTCGTGCTTTAATCTTCATTTCGTGTAGAACATTACCGCATATTTGAAGATTGAAGAGTCGCTCTACCTGACCAGATACATACTGTAACTCGTTATAGTTTTTCTATTTCCGTTACACCGTCCGCAGCGGTGATATTCCACTTCCTACTCAACCACAGATGAAATCGAAGTACCACTGTGTTCAAGTTGTTTTTTAATCTTAATGTTTTTACGAGTACTTTTGAGTGTTTAGTTGGCCGTTAACACTTTTTATTTTTATTTTTTATTTTACATCACTTGAAGATTTACCTTAATTCTTAGTTTCCATAAACAGGTTTTACCGATTTTCTACTAATGTATAGTACAAATGAACTCAAAATAACTTTTCGCTCAGGGTGGCTGTCCTGTGTCTACTTGTGTGGGCAGGTCTGGGAATGTTTGCAGAAAGAAATGCAGCCTCACTGTGAACCTGGGAGCAACCTTCCTGTTCTGTGTTTTATGAACAGGTCTATGAGTTTTGCTTTTTGCTTGACTCACTGGAGAAAGGGCATCGTCAAGTTATGGGATTTCCGACAATGGTCCTGGGGTTTTCCCCCTCGACTGGAGTTCCAGCTGAGCTCTTTTTGACTTAGTGGCCTATTGAGCATAGTCCTAGTTTGCTTTCCAACTGAGATTAGCTAAAGAAAGTAAATTAAATTAATTAACTTAATGAAATCAAAATATTGTTTTTTTTAAATTAATATTTCATTCTTCATTTCTTTACACACTTGTGTTTCCCAAATATTTTCTGTTCTATGCATTGCACATTCAGAATTTCTTAACTGTGTTTTGTTTTGGATTGTCACTGTGTCACACCAGGAAAAAACAACCTGTGCACTGTTGCTGCTCTCTCAGATCTACTGTCCTTTTTAGGAGAACAGACGTTTGTCTGTCCCTGACGTCACTACAGTCACACAAATGTCCAGTCGGTCCCGGAAGTCACAGTTATACAAACAGCTAAGCATATTGGGCTCATGCAGCTGTTCTACAGTGTGGAATCTTATTTAACTTTACATAGATTCATTTTTATTGAAGTGTAAAAAGAATCAGAACAGAACTTAGAAGTTCAATTCTCTCAGCTTGCTGCTGTAGCACTTAAACCATTATCAATTGTTAATTAAACCATGGTTGTCATCAGATAAAGAAGCAGATTTAAATGTGTTAAATAAGTTATTTTGCTGTCTGTGGAGAGGATACACATGAACAATTAAAAAAAAAAAAAGTGCTGTTGGAAGCACTAGAAACATTAATGCCGAAACAATAGAAGCAGTAAAGAGGATTAGTAGTGTGTTCATATTTTAAAAAATCCTGAAATATTATTAGTTGCCGTGAAGCACTGATTCACCTGGATCAACAATCAGCCAGTGTTTTTCGTTGCTGTGACAACAGTTGCATCAAAGTCAGCTGCTGCTAAATTGCTTAGCTGGTATTGAATACATTCAGGGGCAAATCGTTTTCTCTGAAGTGTTAAAAAAGCCTTTTCAGGAACTTTTGCATTCATTTGTACTTTAAACTGAAAATATAATTGTTCATTTGAATAATGAAAATTCCTGTAGCTCTGTATATTTATCTGGGTGTTTCTGTTTACATTAAGTAATGAGCAAAATAAATTAATTGCTATTATTAACATAACAATGATGGAGTAAAGTGGCTGAAGAATATTTGGGATTATCTACAAAACGGATGTGCATCTTTCAAAGTGTAGCTTGCCAATGTATACTGTATATCCCGGCCATTGTTAATTCAATTACTTTACTGAATTCTTATGAAGATTTGATTTTATAACTGTGGCTCTTTACAGTGCTGTTTTTTGTACATTTTACAGCAGAATTAATTCCAGCACTAAGACTGGTCTTGTAGAAACATTATTAGCCTTATTTGGAGTAGAGCTGGGCGATAATTCGATAATGATAATTATCGCGATATAATTTTCCTCAATATAATTTTAACAAAAGTTCGATAAATGTTCGATATACTGTATACGTTTATGCTTTGCGCATGCGCACAAAATACTGCGCTTGTGCGCGTGCATGTTGCAGACCGGGCAGCTAACAGATTTGTTCAATGTTTCTGCTGTTTGGCAAGTGTTTGTTGTGTTCTTAAAATAAAAAGTTGTTTAATTTACCAGTTAACTGTCTGGTTTCTTCAGCCTTTACTCAGGAGAATAGATCTGCCTTTAAACTTGAAAGAAATAATGATTTGACATTTATCGTGATAATAATCGATATCGACAGATATGAAAATTGTTTTCGTGATAATGTTTTTGGCCATATCGCCCAGCCCTAATTTGGAGTAAACAAAGCCTTTGCTGCTGTGGTAATCTACTCCTTACAGTTCTGTTAATAAAGTACCAGTGACATACAGGTGGCACAATGCTCAGACTCTGTCATTTGTAATGGTTGATATTTTCCACAATGATCTTTGTCTTTCTGTTTCTCTATAGGGCAGGCTCAGCTGATTATAACCAAAGAGGCGCAGAATGGTACCTACTGTTCTGCTGCATTATTGAAATGTATTGTGACCAACCTGAGACAGAATAAAATCCAAAATATGGTTTTAATCTGGAAATTAAATAATGAAGAAATCTACGGTTTTAATGGTGAAGATGGAAAAGAACGGAAGTTGGATTCTGTCGGTCCACAGGTAGATTTAAAAGCCTTGGCACATGGAAACGCTTCCATTTGGTTGAAATCCCCCAAACCTGGAAATTACACTTGCTACGTGTTGGAAGGGAGCTCAGAGGGAAGCGGCGTCTTCAAATTTACAGGTAGAGTTTCATTTAAGTATGATAATCAGCAGATTGTGGCTCTTGAACTACAGAAAGTATAATGGCACTGAAAGTCAAGGGATTGCACGACTTAAATTCAAATTTCAAGACCCCACATTAAAATAGCTTTATCCGGAGTGAGTGGGAACACAATTTGAGAAACAAAAATCTTTCCCGTTTTCTGCTCATGTTCCCAACATTGTAACATATCATGTTCAGCAAGTTTGAATTTTCTGTTTTCCTTGCCAGGTAGTATAATTGGTAAATTATACTGTATTTCTTAGTAATATGACAATGGAAATTTTAGATATGAAAATCTTTTGAATTTGAATGCGTTTCGGTTGATCATCATATCGTTTTAAAACTTACTTTCTTATTGTTTTGTATTTGTTAGAAGTGTGGGATAATTATACATTCCCAAGACCACAAGCAGTAGTCCTTTATGTGGTGTTTGCTGCTGTGACTGTTGTACTCGTCCTCCAAATCCTTTTTTACCATTTGGGTAAGTATGTATTTGTGTTTTTCATCATCCCTATGTACAAGATTTGCTGAAAGACATTGAAATAAGAATAGAAGACCTAATTTTCATATCTCACAAATACTAAACTATTTACTACATCAAACTTTTGATGAAAATGTTGAGAAATTGTTCATGCAAAACTAGTTGTACAAATAAGGCCCAGGTTTACATAATAAACCATATTACATATTCTACAAAACCAGGGGTTCCCAACCTTTTTTCTCAGCTGAACCCCTTCAACCTAAATTATTTGCCTCAGTACCCCCTTGAGAGAACTAAATTAAACCTTTCAACAACTGTAGATAAATGCTATACTAACCCTCTAAACATGCTTCTTTTCCTTTTGTAAAATATTAATATTACTACTTTTGTTTTTCTTATCCTTATTATTACATTGTTATTAATAAGACTATTGAATTTGACATTGACGTTCCCTTCACAATCTCACAAACCCCCTGCAGAACCCCTATTTGGGAACCCCTGTACTAAACCATCCAAACTAAAATTCAGTTATATGCTTAACACAGTAGCACAGATGCTCCACTGAATGGAGCAGACTCAAACACAGCAAGACATCTTTGTAGCAGTAATTATAGTTGCAAGGCCTTTGGGGGAAATCTCTGCCAACAAGTCTCTTATCATCTACACACCAGCCTTGGTGCAATTTCTGCCTGTTCTGTTTGGCAGATTTGCTAAAGCTGTCTCTAGTATCAAGTCTTTCCACAAGTTCTCAGTAAGATTCAAGCTACGATTTTGACTGATGCACTTTCTTTTTCCTGAGCCACACCAAATAGCATGTCCTAGTGAAAGATTAATTTGTGTCCTCAGTTTTAGACCCAGAGCAGGTTTTCCTCTTCATTTTCTTAGAACTTTGTTCCATGTATTCTCCCATCAGCCGTGACAACATGCTGCCATCAACATGCACCATGTTTGGTTTGCATCAAATGTAACCCTTTGCATTAAGGAGAAAGTTACCTTTTTATCTTACCTGTATACAAAACCTTTTGACACATCTTACCTGTACCACTTAGGTGCTTTGTTGCAATCTCCATGTGGAATGAGAAATGGATTTTCCACACTGCTGTGCAGACCAGCTTTGTGGAGCAACTGGAATCTTTATTAGGTTGTTTGGGTACATTAACTCCTATCTTAGCCATTGAAATCTGTTGCTCTTCCAAAGTCACTGTTGGCCTTACAATTGCATCACTAACCGTTTTCTTTCTTGCCTTGGCTGCTCAATTTAAATGGACAAATAATAATAATTCCTTACACTTATGTAGCGCTATTCTGGACACTCCACTCAAAGCGCTTTACAGGTAATGGGGACTCCCGTCCACCACCACTAATGTGCAGCATCCATCTGGATGGTGTGACAGCAGCCATAGTGCACCAGTACACTCACCACACATCAGCTATCAGTTGGGAGGAGAGCAGAGTAATGAAGCCAATTCATAGATGGGGATTATTAGGAGTCCATGATTGGTAAAAGCCAGTGGGAAATACCCCTGGGTAACAACACCTGGGTAACACCCCTACTCTTTTCAAAAAACACCCTGGGATTTTTAACGACCAGAGATATTCAGGACCTAAGTTTTACATCTCATCTGAAGGACAAGTTTTACATCTCATCTCATCTTTTTGCAGTATAATGTCCTTAGATTTCCCAGAAGGTCTCCAATCCAGGTATCCAGCTTAGCTTCAGTGGGCTGCCAGTTGTGAGTTGCAGAGTGATATAACTGCTAGCTACCATTTAGACAGAGTCTGGGTGTCTTCTACATTTGAATGACTGAAAAAGCACTTCAAAGGCTCTTATATCCTTCTTGCCCTTATACAACTTTACCCAAGTTGTTTTAAAAACATTTTGCTCCATAGGTGAAGCTGTGCTTAAAATTCACTACCTTGCTGATGGGATTTACAGCTATATTTATTCTGAAATCATGAGAACCACTATTACTGCACACAGAGGAGACTCAGCTAATCGTGTAACTGATTTATTTCACAGAAGTGGCAGTGTCAGCATCTCTAGGCTGCAAAGGAACAAGTAAAGGTTTATTCTATGCTGAAATGAAAAGAGATACCCCTGAAGAAGGTTCTACAGCTGAAATGTTCAGTATGGAATAAACCTTTACTTGTTCCTTTGCATAGCTGATTTAGGTTTGCCAGAGCAAAAGCTCTGAGTGGTTATGCAATCACGATTTTTCTTTTATACCCTCATATATAAACGATTTACTTTTTGTCTGAAGCTGGACTTCTTAATCCTGAATTAAGCAACCAATGCAAGAATGGCAGGAATACCAATATAGGATATGTCCTAGTTTCTTGGTTTTCAAGATTCTAGCTGCAGCGTTTTTTGTATGAAATGTATTTGGAAGCTTGTATGTTCAAATTCCCGATTGGGCACTACTGTTGTACTTTTCTAGCTTTGAGCAAGTGATTTCACTTAGATTGCTTTACCAAAATGGCAATCTGTATTTTGTGGTAAAATAATTTACTATTAAATTAATAATGATCTTTCACATTATTGTATCCTTGAGCAAGCACTCCTGCAAAATGAAAAGTGCTCGGTGTCTTTTTGTTTCTTTAAGGAATGTTTTGTCATTCATTTGTGTATTGTACATAATGTTTTATAACTCTTTTTCAAGGTGGTTATGATCAGAAAGCTAAAGCATACTGTCTGGGGGTCTTCTCCATTGTCCTTATTATAGTGGGACTTTCATTATTTTCCAAAGGTAAGTTGAAAAAAAGGTAAGATGGACATTGTTGCAAGGAATAGAATTGCTGTCTTCTGTGACAAAGGGGATAACAAGACAGTTTCAGTGATCCACCATCCTAGTCCCAGAGGGCTGATGTATCTATAGATTTGTAATGACTTGAATCAGATCATTGGTTTACAGTATTTTAATGGTATCTCCCAGCTCTTCAGGTTCTCCTGATTTGAAGAGACCTACCAACCCTGTAGACATACAGTATTAGCCCTCAAGGTCCAGCATTGGAAACCCCTGTGCTATGAGCAAGGGGAGTTATATGGGGCAGCCATTGCAGGACAAGGCAAGGGGTAGAATGTTTTTGAAGATTATGTCACAAGAGCCTAAGATTTTGAACAATGTTTTGGTGATCTTTGTCCATACTGTACCAAAGACTAAACCCTTCTGAATGAACAGACAGTCCAGAGTTTTGATCAGTTTACTAAGTCAGTTGTTCAGCTATGTCAAGAATAGCCATTTGCTTCTTGATATTTATAAACTCCTGGGATTTGTATTTCAATTAATCTCCGTGCTGCAAGATATATATATAATACGTTAAGCTGGTTTTAGTGTCATTCAAGTTTCCCTTCTTCCCCACATTTTCATTTTTCTTTAATACATTCCACTAGGCTTCTCCCTGTAGCAGAGTCCCTGCTCGTCACTGGAGTGGGATCCATGGCAAGCTTTCCTAGCCACTCACAGCACTCGACTTGCAGTTTCCCAGCTACATAAACTTGATTAGTGTCTGTGTAGCTGGCCTGCGACTAGAATTGTCTTGTAGGTCCTGGTACTTCGCCGCTCTGGGAGAATAACCCAAAATTTACTAAACCAACCCCAGAACCTCACCAACTCTAGAACCGAACTCCCAGCCTTTGAAGACACTGCAGGTTTCACAGGGTTTGAAGGGAAGTTGGGTTCTTAGTCATAATCACAAACCCGAGCCCTCAAACTAAACCATAACCCATAAGCTTCAACCTGTCACCATTAACCAATAACCTGAACCTTCAACCATCAGTCCAAGATACCCGCTCTGGGATCATTGATAACCATGTTTCCTCTCTTGGAGAAACTCCCAGTGCACCATTGAAGCCAGGGCTTCTTTTTCCCATGCGGCTGATCACCAGGAGTGTTCCCAGGCACTCCCTGGAGGCGACCTGAAAGCTAACTCAACTGCAGGGATTCTGAACAGCAGACTTGTGATCCAGGGATCATTGCTGCCCCAAAGCATATAATGCAGTTCAACATGGGAGTGGTTTCCTTTCCACGGACACCTCCAAGTTCAGGAAAACCCCAACAACCCACCTGACCAAAAGCCCCTCAAACTCTCTTCTCCATTACCTTTTACTGTTGAGTAGGGAATTCCTGTTTTTTCATCTTTTGGCTAAGAATTTTCTTAAGTTTAAATCATAAGATTTAAAATAGCCTTGCTGCAATCTTTACATGTAGTAGAATGTGGTTTCTAGTTTTCTGCCCCTTGCCTACCAAACCTATTTCATTTTTTAAAGACTAACGCGCATAGCGTCTATTTTTTCATCATATTTTTAGCACACTAAAGCACTTAATTCAAAAATTACACAATACATAAAGCTAATATTAAAAGGGGGAAAAACGTTTTGGCCTCCGAGCCTGATCTTTAGACTTCTGTTAAACTTGTTAAAAGCAGAAAGAACGAAACAAGTCAAAGGATTATTCACAGGCCTATTTTAATACATATTGCGCAAAGCAGTCAATCTTCTTCTGTGCACAGAGCTGTGTCATTGAAGTCAGATATAGTGTTGGTGGTATTTGTTGGTGCATAGTTTTGGTAGGAATAAACAACACTGTCAGCCATGAAAAAGTAAGGCATTTTTTCACTTACCTGTAATCAGTATGAGAAAAACATAAGCATCTGTCTGAATAAAATATGTAGATTTATTGACCCAGTGTGAAGATATTGTTCTTCTTGACAACTTTAGATAGAAAAAATAAGTTTATTTACCATGACTGTAAATTGTAGCATCAAGATTTTTAATACAAAAGCAAACAAAACTCACAATTACAAAACTATAACAAGATAGTTCTTTTGAATGCAAAAGCTACACAGTGGTATAATAAAATTTAGAATACACTATAATGAAATTAGCTATGTATTAAAATAGTGTAAACTATTGGAAAATAGGGGAAAAGACTACAGTGGCAATTGTATAATTACTATTGGTCTTGTTTAATGGGTAGCTTGAATTAACACTGAAGTGGTGTTGGTTTGAAGGATATACAGATACAGTTGTGTTTAACAAAAGTGTGGCTTAACATGTAGCTGTTTTTAAAGGTACCGCACGGCCTCCCCTCAGTGACTGCTAGAATATACTGAAAGCTGCTTTTGTAACAGAAGTAACTGGATTTTTTTTTTTGCTTCATAGGGGTCAGTGACGGAGTGACAGGAAACAGCAACATTGGATTTGTCATCACAGTGTTTTCCATGGTGGTTGTGTTGATCAGTCAAGCATTTTACTGGTTCAAAGGTAAGTACTGTATAGGCTCCTGAAACCCAGTTGGCTCAGCCGATAAAGGAGTTTATTCATTCTCTTCTGGCCTTACTTAATCACACTATTTAAATAGGAAGTGAAATCACAGGTCTCTTGAATGGCTCAACTGGGGGAGAGGGTTACCCATTAAACTCGTATTGTGGGTTCGAGCCTTGGTCATGTCACTAGCCAGCTGTGACTGGGATTCCCCGAGCAGCAGTGGGACACAGCTGACGGAACTCTTGAGGGTAGAGTGGGATTAGTCGGCCTTGGCTCTCACAGCGACACTGTGCCCTCTGCGGTTAGCCAGACATTTTCAGGCAGGAGGTGCTGTCTGTGAGGGACACCAGGGGCTTAAACTGACTTTCACATGTTAAAACGCAAGTGGTTGAAGTTTGGCAGGTCAAGAGGATCCTTACCTGTGAATCAAGACTTAATAAAACACACAACTGGCTATTCCAGGTAGACATAACATTTTAAGTCTAAAGATAATCAATCAGATAATATTCCAAATGTAAATGCAATATTATCAATAACTACCATCAGAAATGGTTTCATCTCCATGTTCTTCTATATGCTCTCCTTGCATGTAGTTCGAGTACAGTAGGTAGCTGCATCAGTATGTGTAGGCTGTAAAGGAACAGGTAACGGGTTTATTCCAGACTGAAAAGAAAAGGGAAACGCAACGTTTCAGCTGAAGAAAGCTCCACGACTGAAAGGTTGTGTCTCCTTTCTTTTCTTCTCAGCATGGAATAAACCCGTTACCTGTTCTAGCATGTGCCTAGTTTCAGACTATCACCAGGCCTCATCACAAAGAAAACCTGTCAACACCTTTGCAGACCTCTACAGTTAAATACTGTACTCTCAGGCTATCTAATAGATAGACACTTTAGTGTCTACTACTGTGGAAATTTGTCTGTGGCTTCTCCTGTTAAAATTATAAAACACACAAGGAAAACATAAAAAACACATGAAGTAAATGAAACCAGAACAACAGTATGTGATGCATAAATAAATGGATCAATAAATAGGTAGTGGGGGGACTACGTTTGCATACTTTCACTGAGCAGAGGTAACAAAGGACTTCTTTGTTTGTATTTGAATTTGGTAGTCTATACCATCTTCCTGATGGGAGTATGATGAATTGAGAATGGAGTGGATGAACACCTATGATGTTCTTTGCCATTCTGAGAACTGTATTATGATATAAATCGCTGAGCTGGGGCTGCTGTTTCCCAATTATTTTTCCTGTGATTTTCAAAATCCTGGACAGTCTGGTTTTGCTTTTCAACCCCAGGTTTCCATACCAAACTGTCATGTCTTTGAGATAAAAACAGCCTCTGATTTGCTTTCTTATAAATGTTGTCTATATTCTGGGTGTAACTCAGCCTCTGGTCAACATGTGTTCTCAAATATTTAAAACTGCCCAAGTCCCCATAACCTCTACAAACTGACCATTAAGTACTAATGTCTGCAAAGATTGCCTTCCATCGGTTTTAGCATTGCAAAGAAGCTGTTTAGTCTTGGTCTTATTTATTTTCAATGTGCTGGATTGGCACCAATTTTCAAGGATACTTTCAAAGTGAGTTTGCTCACCAAGAGTTTGGTCCTTTAAACAGGAGTCCAACAAGAACCATGTCATCTGCATATTTAATTAGACTGGCTGTGCTACTCTGAATCTGCAACTCATTAGTATATATTGAGAACAGAAGAGGTTGTCAATACACAACCCGAGGGAGCACCTGTATTTAAAACCAGTTTGTCTGAGAATACACTGTTGGTGGGGACTGTGAGGTCAGAGGTCTGTCTATAAAGACATTTTTGATCCACTGTATAACATTCCCATTCACATTCAAGTAAAAAAAATGTTGTAAAAGAATATGAATTTGCATGGTGTTAAAAGGAGAGCTAAAATCAATGAAGAGAGCTTGAACAAAAGAGTTTGAGTGTTGAAGGTGCTTGGCTTGAATCAACTAAAGAAAGTGTTGCTGGGTATATAGGTTGGCTGGATAAGCCTGTGTACCACAGTTTTTCTAAAGAAATTCTTCCCTCTCTGTGCCCCTCCTTTCTCTAGTTTGTCTTATACAGCAAATAAGTCACTCGGTGTCTTAAAGAAAAACAAGCATATCACTAACAGCTGAGCCTTATCACACAGGAAGTGATCTACTCATCTTCCCCTTTGCCTGCCTAAAAATACAGTATAGTTTCCTCCTAGAGCAGAATAAACTATAAACGTCAGCAGACAGGGATATATTTGATAGAGGCCTTTTATTTGAATATTCTCTCTCTGTCACCCTGTCACACATTATTACATCTTGTTTATCACATTTAAAAATTATTTTTTTAAATTATTTTGATTTTTTTGGTTATCTTTTAAAGGTTGTTTTTTAAAACCAGGTAAAAGAAGCAAAGTGGACCAAACTGAAAATATGTCATCATAACCTTTTTAGTTTTTCAGTTTTTCCTGAAATGTTGTAATAAACCTCTCATTTGCAGGAATAGCTGCCAGCAACAAAGCAAAGTATTATCTCCCTTTGTATTCTACTATCCCGATGAAGGTTGTTGGTTTTGTCATCTCTCTTGTTGGTTTCGGTATTTGGGTCTCCAACGTCTTATCTGCAACTGCACCAGGTAATGTAATGTCACTCCTGCTCTATTACAGACTGGCATTAAACACCCAATACAATGTTTCCTTCAATTTGAATGAACCTTATCAAAGGTGGATTTCATTTGTTCGGTTTTTCTTCTAATAAATATTATCTTCCTTCAATCCCAGACTTTTGGTTTTCCCCCAAAACCAACCCTGTTGTGAATGTTGTATAAATTCCTAGATTCTTTTTAACTTTTAAATATTTGTGTTCCTTCGCATATGAATGGTACCTTGAATTTACCTAATTTTGAGGGAACAGTTATCTTAGTGTTGCAAAGAAAATAAAAGCTGTATGAGCCAAGGATAAGAGATTGTTTACATTTGTATAGCAGTTCTTTCAACTATTTCCCTTTTTTCCCTTGTTTTACACCTCCAATGCAATATGTGTAAAGTAAGTTGTAAAGGTGCCATTATTAAATCAACATTTGATAGTCATGCTCTGGTTCATCAAGAGCGTTGCAGCATTTTTTGAGGGAGTGTGCCACTGTCACTTTTTTATCAGTAAAAAATTAGATGATGTTTCAGAAGAGATTTTTATACACATTGCATCGCTCATCTACATGGTTTCACGAAACAAAAATGTAATTCCGGAGCTTCACATCTGGTAATAAAAAACCTTGTTCAATTATAGATCTAGGCAATGAATTCTAAATGGGGAATGGCAGCCACCACTGTGTGTGTTATAGCCTGCATTCTTGTAGCATGGGTCTACGGTGGTGAACAACTTTGTTCGATGTAAAACCAATTTTTGATTAGGGAATCAAGGAAATACAGTACAGTCTAAAAACTGCATCCTAGATTTCAATAAATACAGCACTTTTCTATTAAAATGGAAATTGGCTTGAAAAGAATCTTGAACATCTGTGTAAAGCTAGAGGAAGAAACATTTTACTTTTTATCCATTTATTTATTAAAATGCCTTCCAACAATGTGAGACTGTTGTATTGCATTGCAAGTCTGTGAAATTAAAGTTTTATGAGCAAATGTACATTTTGTGGGCATGAGCAGATTTAAATTAATTTTAGCTTAGCTACATTATGGATGGCTTCATGTGTTATCATTATCGTACATTGAAGGTACTCCACTAGCCTTAAAGGAAAGTTACATGGATTTACAGTATGCTCCAGATTAAATATTTTCTGCCTGTATGCTTGTTTTGTTTCCTAGATTGTGGTCTTCTTGAAATTAGCGCTAACATCGCCCTTAGCGGTGTGGTCATCTTTGCAATAGCTGAAATTGTGGAATTCATTTTTTGGTACTGCTTCAGTAAGTAAACCTTTTTTTGTTTGTTTTTCCATAGACATTTTTTTGGAAGAAATCCTTAAGCTGGTCAGAGTTATGTTCGTTCAGCTGTGCTTTTGTAGCAAGGTGGAATGCTAAGGTGTAAACTAATTTAGCTAACCTCATAATCATTTTTGGAAATATTTTACTTGGAGTAGTTAACCTGCATGAGACATTATCTGAGCTAAGAATCTCACACAGCTGTTTTTGTAGCTCTGAATGGCCAGGATTCTCCTCACAATTTCCTAATCTATGGTTTACAAAGCATACTCAATTATTGAGCGAAAGAGATCACTTTGTACATAGGCCCACCAAGGATTTTCTGTACAGTTAAGGAGAACAATAAGGAGAAATCTTTTTATTTTAATTTACTGTTCACAATTGTCTCTTATTCCATTCTTATCGTGACCACGGTACTATAACTTAATCTTCAACTTGACTCATAGCTGTGGGCTCATTTTCCCTTGTGTATACAGAATCACATTAATTCTTCAGCTTGTTGTGCCAGTTTGGAGGATGGGTACAGTTCTTAGAGGCATTGTTTAGTACTATAGCATCTAGACTCCTCTAGGAGTCACATAACCTGACCAGTTTTATGTCGCAAGTCTCAATGCCTTGGTCATAGTCTAGAAAGCAGCATAATAAAGATGAGTGGTCACTATTGAACAGTGCTATTTGATACAAGAAGACAACATACTTTATGGTCAAATTGTTTGGTATAAAATGCTAAATAACAATTGTGGCACAGTGATTAGCATTACAGGCTCACAGCACTAGAACGCTGGGTTCAGTTTCGGACCTGGGGTGGTATCTGCAGTTTATACAGTATGATCTCCCCGTGTTTGCATAGGTTTTCCCCAGGTGCTTTCCCCAGGTGAGTTTCCTCCCAAAGTCCAAAGACATATTGGTAGGTTAATTGGCATCTAGGAAAACTGGCCCTGGTGGGAGTGGGTGTGTCTGTGTCCTTGTGTGCCCTGTGATGGACTGGCCTTTCATCCAAGCAGTATAGTATCCTGCCTTGCACCATTTGCTTGCCAGGTTAGGCTCTGGCTCCCCATGTGTTGGTTAAAATGATGAGAAAATGGGTGGAATGATCTTTTGCCTTGTGTGTTCAACTTTTGATGTCCAACCAGGAATAATCAGGATTACAGTTGCAAGAAAAAGTTTGTGAACCCTTTGGAATTGCCTGGATTTCTGCATTATTTATTCATAAAAAAAATATGGTCTGATCTTCAACTAAGTTACAATAATAGACGAACAATCTGCTTAAACTAACACACAAACAATTGTACTTCTTCTCGTCAATATTGAGCACATTATTTAAACATGCACAATCCAGGCTGGAGAAACCATTGTATTTAGTAACTGGTAGAACCTCTTTTAGCAGCAATTTCCTCCACCAAATGTTTCCTGTAGCTGCTGATGAGACTTGCACAATGGTTAGGAGGAATTTTAGACTATTCCTCCTTTCAGTTCATTGATATTTCTGGGATTCCTTGCATGAACAGCTCTCTTCAGGTTATGCCACAGCATCTCAATTGGGTTGAGGTCTGGACTCTTGACTGGGCCATTCCAGAACACGAAGCCATTCTGTTGTTGATTTACTCATGTGTTTCGGGTCATTGTCTTGTTGCATCACCCAACTTCTAGTAAGTTTCAGGTTACGGACCGCTACCCTGACATTCTCCTGTAAAATTTCTTGAAACAATTTTGAATTCATTGTTCCCTCTATGATAGTAAGCTGTCCAGACCCTGAGGCAGCAAAGCAGCTCCAAATGATGATGCTCCCTCCACCATGCTTCATGGTTGGGATGAGGATTTGGTGTTGGTGTGCAGTGCTTTTTTTTCCTCCAAACATAGCATTGTGCGTTTCTGCCAGATACTTTAACTTTTGTCTCATCCGTCCACAGAACATTGTGGAACATCCAGGTGGTCTTTTACAAAACTTGAGACGTGCAACAATGTGTTTTTTGGAGAGCAGTGGTGTCCTTCCATTAACATCTTGTTCAGTGTTTTTCTTATAGTGGACACATGAACAGACTTTGGCAAGTTCAAGAGATTTCCGCAGGTTCTTTGCTGTTACCCTAGGGTTCTTTTTCACCTCCTTCAGCAGAGCACGCTGCGCTCTTCCCGTGATCTTTTCAGGACGACCACTCCTAGGGAGAGTAGCAACAGTACTGTATTTCCTTCATTTGTAGACAATTTGTCTTACTGTGGATTGATGAACACCCAGGGCTTTAGAAATGCTTTTGTAGCCTTTTCCAGCTTTATGCATCTCTACAATTCTTATAAGGTCTACTGATATTTCTTTTGATCAGGGCATGGTTAACATGAACAGCTCTTTCTTGAGAAGAGCAGAATCCAGCACCCCCAATCTCATCTCACTGGAACACCTGACTCCAATTAGCTTTTGGAGAAGTAATTAGCCTAGAGGTTCACATACTTTTTCCAACCTAGACTGTGAGTGTTTAAATGATGTGTTCAGTACTGACAAGAAGAAGTACAGTTGTTTGTGTGTTTATGAGTTTAGCAGATTGTGTTTTTCTATTATTGTGACCTAGTTGAAGATCAGACCACATTTTTATGAGTAATTAATGCAGAAATCCAGGTAATTCCAAGGGGTTCACAAACATTTTCTTGCAACTGTACTTTAATCATCTTACAGATCACTGTGGTCATTCTCATTCATTTCCTTTTTTCACCTTTCCTTTTAGAAGGGCAAACAAAATCAGAATCGGAAAAATCAAATGTAAGTTCCTGTTGGTATTTTCTACTTTTGTTCTTCTGGTGTCTTTTTTAGTACTGTCTTCACCAGTCCTCTGTCACCCAATGCTTTAGCACAGCTACATTCCTCTAGTTTTCTTTCCTCCTCTGAACTTACTTGAGCTAATTATTTCAAGAGTAAAATTCCTGTCCTTCAGAATGGCTGAAACAGTTAAGATGCCCACTTGAATGCATGTTCGTGAAATCAAGTCTGAATCTTTATGGTCAGGGGATCAAGTCAGAATCATGTCCCTAGCCAGCTATAATCAGGATTCTTCAAGCCGAATGCTCAATTGGCTGAACATCGCTGAGAGTAGGGTAGGAATAGTCGGCCAGGCTTCTCTTGACTCTCTGTCATGCAGTGACCTCTACGGCTTCCCAGGCACTTACAAGCACATAGGACATGGATACCCAAACAACTCTCAACTCTCAACTCTCTCTTATTTTCTAAAGTATATGAGAAGATGGGACTTTAACAATGAGGAATATAACAATAAGAAAACTGCAGTCCTCCAACGGCATGTTCTGAGTGCACACAACCTGGTGCTATTCAGTCAAATTCATAAAGAGAGTCTCAAGAATGTAAAGCACTTCCCTTGGGAGTTGTTATCTTTTACTGATGATTGATGTTGATGTGAAAATCCACCTTTGCCTGAAATCTGCCAGCGCTACTATTATCAGTATGAGGAAGTGGATGACTTAAGAACTGAAAGCAAACACGTTGTCTACCATGCAGTCATCATTCCTTCATTAATGTACAGGGATGAATCGTGGACGACATAGAAGAGACATTTAAAGAGGATTGAAGAAGTGTTTCCAACACTGTTTACACAGAAGGACAGACTCTCCAACATCAGTATCGAGCATTGAATCTAAGATCGTCTGCCATCATCTCTGTTGGTTTTGTATTGGCATCTAAGTATCAAGACTCCATTTCTCTCCTTTAGCCATGGAAGTTGGAGTAGAGGTGGACCGAAGATGATTGCAAAAGCAAACATGATGAAGTACAATATTGAAAGCTACTCCTGGGAGATTATGGCTCTTGGTTGAACCAGATTTAAGTGTATGTCTAGAAAGGACGTTGTCCCAGAACGTTGAGACCCAAAAGTGTCAGAATGAGAAAGCAGGGTGTGGTAGAGAATTCATCACAGTATCACAGTTATAGCTTTTGTACTTCAACTTGCTATTCAAAACTTTCTGTATCCAGCTGTGCGTTCATCAGTATTCTATCATTATTGTTAAAAACAGTATTGTAATTAATTATGAATTTAAGGACTGAATTTATTTAAACAGACTGCACGGGTAAGTTTAAGATACAACTGGTTTTACATTTAAATGTAACAGTTTATTTCAAGTGGTCACTTTACATCTCCATGAAAGATGTCAGTTTCACAATGTGGTCCCTGCTTCGATGTAATGCCAGCATCTCCAGTCTTCCTCCTGAAGAGCTGTAGGAAATTTGTTCTCGATTACTGCATTGAACTGACTTAAGTAGTGAAGGTCAACTTTGTCTTTAACCACTGATTGAAGACAACTATTGAACCCGAAAAAAAGGTCACCAGATCAAATGTAGGATAATAAAGTCCTCCTAAAAAAGGCTGCTTTTTCTCTTGCAACTTTTACTTCACCTTTGCTGTTAAATCTTTTTAGGCAAAATTGGCCCATTTTCCCCATTAAGTAAATCGTGCAAATCATTTTCTATAGAGTGGGCTAATCGGGACAAATAAGTTTATCTAAAATAAAACATCAAAATATGCAAAGGTTCCGACCATGCAAATAACATGATCATAACCTAATATAATATAACATAACATAATTTCACTCCCACGAGTAGGATCCTTCTGGATCCCTTTTATGCTGTATCTCACTTTGCTGTGATCAGTTTTTGATTATTATTTGAACATATAAAGTTCAGAACAAAATAGCATAACATAGCATTACCCTTCAGTGAGCTTCTACCTAAATGCTGAATAGAAATAGATGGTAAACAGACGTATTCAAACTGTAAAAAAAGCTAAGGATCTTGATGAGGTTTCTAGGTATGTAGATCTAAGTCTTAGATATCAGTAAAGACTATGATAGCTGCAGAATTTGTTTAGAACAGTAAGTTAAAATGCACACATCAGGAAAAAAAGGGAAAAAACATCTTTGAATTTAAGTTTGTATATACAGAGTAGAGTCGGTGCTGCCACCCCTTGTACAGCTGGGAAATTGCATGAAACCTCTAATCTTTATTCTTTCACCAGTCTGTTAATGCACTACGGTCTACATTCCAGCCCTGTGCTGAATATCTCCTGCTGTCTCTGCACTGTCTCTTGGCTATTGAGTCTGGAATGGTTTATCATAAAGATAAATAGCATAACAAACTAGCAAAGCTGAGCATTTGTTTTGGGTCACAAAGACCATTCCTTTTGCTTTTGTAGCAAAACAAATGTCCTTAGATGTCCTGGAAACTGACATCAGATGTGATGATACAATGTAAAAATAATCATTTAGATGTGCAAAAATTGAATTCCCTATGCTACCTTCAACACTGTTAGAACATTACTGCTAATGCATAATATTTTAATAGATATTTTCCATTTTGTACATTGCCTTGGAATAAATACTCATGACAGGTTTAGTCATTTGAGAGATATTTACACTGAATTTGTGATATTAATTTGTGTGGCCTTCAGGAAATGTTTGGGGGGAGGGTGCTTTTGATGTAGCCTCCATACTTCAAGTTTAAAAATAACATTTTCTCGTTTACAGCCAAAGGAAAGTGCACCACTAAGTACCACGGGTAGGTGATTCACTGGGGATACAGTGCATGATCGGAAACTAGAATGTTCTTTAATTTTTCCTTTCAAGGAATCCCTTATTTCATTTGTCATCTTTTACTGTAGTTAAGTGGTGGGAGTGTCTTATTTAATTTCTTTAGTTGTTAAATTGTGTACTTCATTTTCAGGCTTTGAGGGCAATTCAGGAAGCTGTAGTTTCCCAACATCTTCAATTTGAAGGAACAGAGAACCTTTAAGATGAACGTTTTAAACGGATGAGCTACTGAGGCGTTTCTCAACTGTGATTTTCAATGGTTGGAGCTCCACAGGAAAAAAAATTAGAAGTCTTGTGGAGGATTTTGAAAGTTGTTCTGCCACTTTTTATGTAGCCATTTTCAAGGCCAGGACTTCTCCACTTGTATTTGATGAATGGTCTGGAAGGAAAGCCAGTTTTGATTTGCAATCTAGGCAATATGAGATATCTTGGCTAACTTGCTCATGGATAGGAGCACAATTTGCAGGATTTGTAAATGTCTGGCCGCCTGGAACCAGCCTATTTAAGATTAATTTAAAGATTTAAGTTTATCTTGGAAAATCTTATAAATGTCCTGACTTTCTAATGTCATGACTCTTATATTAATAACGATAAAAGCCTGAAACCTCTGAAAATCACAGGGAGCAGACTTGTTAAAGCTCAGTTGCAGAACAGCAGGTTGTCACGTATTCAGTGTTCGTTTCTTACTATAGTCCTGAATGTTGGGTTACAAGAGCTTGCTGAATTATTGAGAATGTGGTTGCTTGTCTGTCCCCTCAATCCTTACCAGCCTTTTATACAGTGATATTTCTCTTTACGATCAAAAATGTTAAAAGTGATTTGGCACCATTTAAAATACATTCTTAAATGTTTTTGTGATCAAGAAATTACAAGCTGGACAGTATAAATTGTAAGACTGTTTCAAGATGAGATGCTGTTTTACAGTAATCTCAATATATTTTCTGCAGGAAAGGGAAATATACACACTTGGCCACATTAAGATAATTCCATTGTAATCTCTTTATTTTTTCTCTTCAAGGCCATGCATAGAAAAATGGCTTTGGCCATATTACTGTATGGTGTTGGAGTGCTGGTTCATATGTCTGTTCAATTAAGCTTACCATTCTCTGTTTATAAAAAAAATGTTTTTCAGAATCCAAATAACAAACCAGATCAGGGGAGTGAGGAGAGATAAGATCCTGGGGTCCTTTGGCTTTGCAGAAAATGTGCAATACAATTCCACCAAAGGAAAAAGGAAGATGGAGCTACATATGGTAACTCAGTGCTGTGTGTTTGATATTATTCGTCATGCAGTTTGCCTAGGAAAAAGCACTTAGTGAACATAACTAATATGTGTATGTCCAGAATAACTTGTCTGTACAGGACTGAAATTAAATGTATAAATAAAACAAAGACAATTTCTTAAATTTTGAGTTACATTAAAATTGAATTAAAAACATTGATTCCAATTTAATGCCTATAAGTTTTAGATTTCATGCTCTCCCAACTGTAAATTCCTCTTATTTCTAAGGGAGTGTAGTTAATAGATTTGAATGTCACCTGTAGGTGAAAACATTCAGTACAGAAGCTTTTGTGAAGTGTCACCCGCAATTGACATTAGCTACACAGATTTGAAGAGGGATTGCCATGTTTGGAATCTTGGAATCTTTAACATTTTAATAAAACATAGTGTTTTTGTAAGAGCCAGAATAGCTGTAGACCAAAATAAATGTGTATCGGAAGTATAAAGGCTACCAGTATAGGATGGATGATTGACATTGAGCCCATAGAGACACACCTACTGAATGTATAGTCTATGTGCACTGCTTATCAAATTGAGGTTTTTTTATAACTTTGCTTACTTATAAATGTTCAAATGTTTGTAAACCTTGGCTTAAGTAAAAATTTGTTTAAACACTGCATATTGCGAAGAAGCTACTGCTTTGTTAGAATGTGTTGATGTGCTTTTGTTTTAACGTAAAAACTGCATGAGCAGTTGAGGTATTTACTACACTTTGGAATTTGCTGTATTTACGTAAAGGTTAATAAATTGTTCTGGAATAAATGCTCAAGGAGACTTGTCATGTGTTAGTGTCTTGTGTGTATTTATAGTGTTGTCTTACTGTGATGTCTTACTGTGATGTCTTACTGTGTAACTGAGTAGTCTGTATAATTAGTACTGTATTCAGGGAAGTATTATGAATATTCATTTTGTGAGGCTGTTCTGTGTGCAGATTCCCTAAGAATTGGTGTATAGTTAGTAGAATGGTCTTGATCTGGCCTTGGAAAGTTTTTGGAAAGCCAGTAGAAACTTTCCCCTCCTTTGCCAAAGCTAATCCATCTGCAATGGTGCCACTGCCTCTTCCTGGTAATTAACAGCTGCTCGTTAATCTGCCTTCCAAAACTAAAGGCTTTGATTTCCAAAGAGGCTTTAAATCTTTTACATCCGAATCCTTCCATCTTTTTTTCTGAAGCCAAGCTGTTCCTTGGTTAAAGGGATGTCCATGGTTAAAGGAATTCAGATTATATCACTGCAGGAAAGTTGATTCCAGTCTGTTCTCTTCAAATCTTCAAGTGCTTGGCGGGGCTCTGAGGTTTCTAAACTTGGAAACTGTAGGACATATCTGCATCAGGTACAATTCAGTATTAAGAATGAAACTTTGAATTGATACGGCCTTTAGGGGAATATGGAAATGAAAGTATTTCCCATGTACAGTATGCAAAATAAGATACAAATAATGTCCTCTTCTCTGAATGCAAGGACATTTGTTCATTACCTATTTAACTTAAATATTTCTATAGTAGCAAAAATGACTCTGTGTTTTAGCCTGGTTTTACTTTTGTCTCAACTTTTGTCCTTACTAAGCTGAAAAAAGCCTTCCAAAGCTTTGGCTGAAGTTTTTATTCCTGTTCAATTTAGTATGCCTGACCACGAGTCATAAGATGGTGGTTTTGAAGCACAAGGTTACAAACTTATGTTTCGTTACTCATTGTGTTCAACGAAAACTTATTGCACAAGCTAATGAAAAATAATGAGGCATAGCGGGTACAAAGTTAATCATAAAACGGATTGCTGAAAGTATCTCTTAAACCAAAACAAACCCTGCCTTCAGTAGGTGGCATATTTGGGATTCAAACAATTGTATTAAATTCTATTTACAAGAATTTCAAAATAAACATGAAAGATTTCATTTCCTGAGTGTGTTACCTTTTTAGCTCTGAATGGGAGCATTATGGAAACATTTCATCTTTTCCTTCCACATCCACTGTAACGGATTATTCCTTTATATACCTGTATTTATGTGTGGGCACCCAAAATCCTGTCAACAGCATTCTGGGAAATTACTTTGGAACCACGTCAATGTGCCTTCAAAACAAGTTTTGAAATTGTTCCTGCTTTTTATCCATTGTGACAATATAAGATGTAAGGTAATAAAAGGGGTATACTGTCAGTTGGTTCCCATCCTTATCGTGGAGGTACACACACCAGCCAAGCTCTCAGTTACACAACTGAGACCTTAACCGTCTTAATAATAGGATTATTTGACACCATTTTATTGTTTTCCACTCTTAAATGTGTAGGAGGATGTCTTTTAACAATTGAATTTAAAAAACTATGTAAAATTCCCATTTATGAGCAGTTTAAATCAAGCAAGTTGTTCAATTAAAGCTAGAAATGCTTCTAAACAGAAACAGCTGGTGTGTGGGCCAGACAGAATTAGGATCCCCTGTACTATAGGCCAAAGATAAGGAAAAGTGAATACCCCTTTTAATAATTGTTGATAACAACTGTATTTATGAATATGGCATTCTGAATTAAAATCCAAGTACAAGGAAGCTATATAATTATAATAATAATAATCCCTTAAATTTATATACTGCTTTTCTGGGCACTCTACTCAAACTTTGATACTTGATAACTGGTTTCTGGGAAAACTGGCCCTGGTGTGAGTGTGTGCGTGCCTGTGTCTGTACACCCTGCAATGAACTGGTGTTCTATCTCGGGTGTGTCCTCTCTTGCACCAATTTCTTGCTAAGGCTCTGGCCCCCCCATGCCCTGAAACTGGTTAGAAAATAGATGGATGTAACATTTTTAGAATCATACTGTAGTTGGCTGAGATTTGGCCTGATCAAAAAAGGCAGAAAAACGCCAGAAGTACATGATTGTGGACTGGCATGTGTTTTGTCGCACAACTGTACAGTATCTGTGAGCATTTGAAGATAAGCTGGAAAAGTGTATTGGAATTTGATAAACTGATTGACACTGATTGAGTTTAAGTCTTTTCAAATAAAACTTTTCTACTGTGATATCTTCTGTAGGACCAGCTCTGATTTCAGCATTGCATATTCTGTAGGGGAAGCTGTTGTTTGATCATGGGAGTTGTTTCCAATAACAGAAAACACTTGTTTACATTAACAGCAAACAGCAAATTATGTTGTACTGTATGTGTTTCTATACAAAGAATCCATTTTCAGCATCCACATTATAATGACCAGGTCATAGTCATCATTGATCAGTTAACATATTATAACACTAAAGATGGCTGTGTAGGTTTATTTTAACTTGTTGATTTATTTTAACTTGAAGAAGGAAAATGCATTTCTGCCACAAGAGGGAGTAAGAGCTTTCTCTGTTTACGAGGGCTATCTTTTCCTGCTGTTTGTATAAACCATTCAGTGTGTATTATAGAACTGGGTTATTTTTTTTTTAAAGCTGAATCTTCCATTTGTGAGGACAACAGTGCATTCTCAGCCTCAGAGTTTAAGGGAAACTCTGTGATCAGTTGGTGTAGTTCAAGCCAGATCTTCGAGATTTTAGATTTTTGCTGTGAGCATTAAACAAAAATGCAGTAATGCTTGAGGTTTGCAGCTTTATACAGTACCTTCAGACTTTGTTTTGTACAGTAAGTAAATATCTTCATGATGCCTGTTGTCTTGGAGAGGAGGTACTTAAACACCCAAGTTAACAAAATCCATATTGGATCAAAGTATACATTTGAACATTGATCATGTTTGCTGGGTACAAAACGGTTTGAAACACATCTGAGCTCTGAGGTCAGGTTTAAAGGGTTCAAACAAAGACATATGAAGCTGATGCATCAATCCATGGGAATGTGAATCATCTGTTGTTTTGCATGTTCATAACTGTTATTCTTTTCAAATAAAAATTAATTCATGCATTTTTTTTATTCAGATGTGTTAAGTCAAAGCCTCTTTAATTTGTCTAACCTTTTAAATTCTTCATCCCAAAGTCTGTAGGGTCCTGCCTTAATCTGGCTTTGGCCTCTGTTATGTCACAGCAGGGAGGGATTATGGTGAGTTCTATTGTTGAAGTGCACATTTAAATCCTGAAGTCCTCAATTTAAATCTCTTCTGTGACAGTTCACCTTCAAGGCCAAAAAGCTAATTGAATTAATCATGCTTCAAAAGGAGTTATTTACTTTACTTATTCTTACACAGTCAAAACTGTTTCGTATATATTTATTAAATTTTACCTGACAAGGGTAATTTACTTCTTTAATATACAATAAATCTGTGGTATACATTTAAAAAATAAGAATCTGTACAGTGGATTATTTGAAAATGCTAAAGTTAAACTTTATTTTTAATATTACAACATGACAGTAACATTTTAATTGCATTTTACACCAACAACAGTACATGATCTGTAATATACATCTTAAACTAATTTTTCATGTACTGTAAATTGATAGTACAGTGTTTCAGTACAGGGTGATCTGGAGCCTATCCTAGTAAGCATCGGGCCAAGGTAGAGGACACCCTGGACGGGATGCCTGTCCACCACAGAAATAAAAACAGTGAAATTTATTTTATATTCATTATGGCAACACTCAGAAGTGTGCTCAAAGGATCTGTTTTAGGACTGCAGTTCTTCCTGATCCACTTCTGTGATCTATACTCTGGTATAGTGGCTCAACGCTTGAAATCTGTAGATGATACAACAGAAGGTACTGTATCGGGACAGGCACTTGACAAATTCATTTTAATTTGGACAAGTGCAGGAGTTCATTTTTTTTTAAATGCCTCCTCACCACAGGTATGAGTAAAGTATTCTGAATTGAATTGAAATTGGTAGTGTCAAACTGGAACACGTGATGCAAAACACGAGAAAGTTTAAGGAGTCTAGATCTAGGAGCAATCTTGAATCACCCCTTTCTTCAGCACAAGTAGGAAAGTGCTTGGATATACCATTAGGAGTGTAGGATTTAAATCTAGGGATGTAATGTTAAAACTCTACAATATATAATAATAATAATAATTACACTTATATAGCACTTTTTCTGGACACTCCACTCAAAGCGCTTTACAGGTAATGGGGACTCCCCTCCACCACCACCAATGTGCAGCATCC